TGCCTCAGTTTCCCACGCAGCTGGGATTACAGGCATGTGCCATCATGCCTGGCTACTTTTTGTAATTTTAGTAGAGACAGGGTTTTGCCATGTTGGCGAGGCTGGTCTGAAATTCCTGACCTCAAGCAATTGCCTGCCTTGGCCTCCCAAAGTGTTGTGATTACAGGGTGAGCCACCATGCCTGGCCCCATCTTCATTTTATGGATCTATGCAAAATAAGGCAAGTAAACCTCTAACATTTTGCTACAACATTAGACCACAAGCCAATTAGATACAGAAGAGAAGATGGAAAATACATAGAAAGATAATCAGTTAAATCAGAAACCTTAAACTGCTACATTTATGTTTCTTTATCTGTCACTTCACAATTAATAAAGCCTATTTTGGTCTTCCAAAAATGAAAACTGCACTTTAGAATTGCATTTCTGAAAGTGAGAGATTTCATAAAAGAAAAACTGAGTATATCTAAGATTTTATGAAGTTATTGTCATATTCTATGTATAAAGAGAAATAAGTCAACAAAATATTTATATGTAAAAATGTGACTTTTTTTTTTGAGATGGAGTTTAGGTCTTGTCACCCGGGCTGGAGTGCAATAGCATGATCTTGGCTCACTGCTTCCTCTGCATCCTGGGTTCAAGCGATTCTCCTGCCTCAGCCTACGAAGTAGCTGGTATTACAAGCGTGAGCGACTGTGTCCAGCCAAAATGTGATTTTTATTAACGGATAATTTTGCCAGATGACTACTTGAACTGGTTGTCTTTATTTGTCTAAAAACGGAAACCAATGAACTTTAAAAAATATTATAGAACAAAATTGAAAAAGACATTTTTATATGTAAAATATAATTTCCTACAAAAAGTTTTTAATTTAAGCATTCTATTTATGTTAAAAATTATATCTCAAACATTTTCAGCACTAGGAATTGATCTTAAGGTATACTCACACAAATTCAAGAAGATATTTATGAAAGGATATTCACAGCAGCAAAAAAACCACAAATGAATTAAATGTCCACCAATAGATACTGGAGCTTAGAACATAGTAAAAAAAATTACAGGCCACCATACAATGGAATACTAATGATGGCCCATCATTTCACTCAGAGAGAGGTGGGGAAATGGTCACACATGATAGCACCATCAGTTCAGGATGACTGAGTTGCTGGTCAGGAAATTAGGAATAAGGCAGAACTGGCTATTCATGTGAACAACATTTAAAAATCGTAAGTATAAAAGTGTTAGCCTATATTCATATAAAGCTGAGAAGTATCTTCTTCACACAAGTAACTTCACCACAAATAACTGATCTTCTGGATTTAAGCTTACAGAATATTTTACTGGAACCACTGAGCCAAATGATGTGGCATCCAACAAAACTTAGCTATAGGTAGAATGGCATGTAAGTGTGACACATTTTTTAAAAGGCATTTTACGTAACTGTCATATAAGAAACAGCGGTAGCAAACTGGAAGCTTGATGGCTATGTGGCTGTCCTTGAAGTCCATGTAGTGAGAATGCCCTACAGGACAGATTATCTTAGAAAACTTATTTCAGTGACTAATACCTGAAATAACATCCAAAACTCCCTAGTTTATGATTAATTCTTAGATAGATTCCAGCTCTGATGTATTTTATTAGAAAAGAAGTCAATATTCTGGCAAACATCTCTAACCTCTGAATCAAATATAGGTTTATGCCTGCAAAATAGGGCAGGTTGGTTTATAAATTTTTTAGAAGATCATTAATTAGTAACAGAGAAAGTAATTTCATGTCCTTTCTGTCTCTATGAGAGAATAGAATTACTTCCTTTGTTTACCAGTTGGGTTGAAAACAAAGAACATACCCAGATGTAGAAGAAAAACCAAGAAAATACCCCTCTATTAAAATACATCCCACATACAAAGTTTCTTTTATTCTTCTGATAGCCTATCTAGTTGTATAATCAAATATATTTCTAATATACTTCAAATAGACATAGTACTACCATCCTTAACTGAAGTGTTTTCATTTTTGCTAATAAAGTGAACATTTTAGCTAAAATTCCTCATTTCCTGTGCAAACTTGTGTTATTTCATTTAAAAAAAATTATTTTTAACTTTTCTTCTACACTAGATTTTGCACTTGATTATCCTCTTTATCTCCTTAATTTTGCTTAGTGTTCACAGTATGTCATTGAATGCAAAAGAATTAAAATCATGATGCTACATCATTCTAAAAACTTAATAACATCGATTTTGTCCATACCTGACTCTCACTTCAAAGGGCTTACATACTATTTAAGAATAAGTGATGGAATTCAGGACTTAAGAGCCAAAACAAGAGTACTCTCCATTTTTTCTATTATGCTTTCCATTTCTGTGGTTGTGGAATCTTCTTTCATAAACCCTAGCTTGTGTTCTAATTGGGCATGGACCTTTTCCATCACCAGTCTTAGCCCCAATAAACAATTTTCATCCATTCAATTTACCACATATATCGAGCTTTTCTTGTTTATTTTTTAAAAGGAAAAGTGTGCTCAATTATCTTGATTTACATTTTTTATGGTTAGGATGATTAACAACATAGAATAAGAAGAAAATGATTAAAAAATAAAAAACAAAATTGTGGCAGGCGCGACGGATCATGCCTATAATCCCAGCACTTTGGGAAGCTGAGGTGGGTGGATCATGAGGGTCAGGAGATTGAGACCATCTTGGCTAACATGGTAAAACCTTGTATCTACTAAAAATAC